ATATATATATAATTAGAATGTGTCTCATAGAGACAATAGGAAGAATCACGGCATACAGTCAGGCAAGATCTTAAACGCCTATTTTTTAATTGAATTAAATAAATTCAATAAATTATTTTAGACTTTGGTTCTACGGTAACTACGGTCATTTAATTATGTAGTAGTTGAATACTATGTCTCCTCATTAATATCTTAATAATAGTAATAGCTCAAAAATAGTGCTCAAAATCTTACCCGACCGTATGTGCAACAATTTTTTCAATAGTTTTTCATCATTTTTTTCATCATTTTGTCTCATATTTTATTATACAACTTCTGTTATGATTTACTTCTATTAATTTTATTTGCAAATATCTGTTATGTAAAGGTAGAGATTATTTTCTTTTTTTCGTATCTTTTTACTGCATCTCATTTTGCATGTTATAACTGTAGGATAATGTCTAAAATATCTACAGTTTTGTTACTTTTCACTTTATTATTGTGACAATCAATAATCAATAAATCAGTTATTAACAATAATCATTTTAGTCAAAACATTTTAGTGAAATTTTACTAAAAATCCTGATAGCAATTGTCTTAAACAAACAAATAAATAAATAAATAAATATATACAAAGAGATTCGTAAGGTGTGTCCTATTCATAGAATGATATAATGTGATTTTGACGAAGATCGCGTCATAATCTGATGTATAATTTGCTTGTGCATTTATAATTCTATGAAACTGACAATATGCCATTCATTATTATATGCAATTGCGTTAGAAAACTGAATTAAATGAGGCAATGACGCGCAGTTGATCGAAGACAGTACATCATCAGTATTACGCACTTTTGCATCATCGAAGTCAAATTATACTGAATAAAAAATCTTTTTATTATTTATATAATGTTTATGTAACATTAAACTTCTATACTTTTAATAAATCTAATTATTTTGTTAGAATATCAACAATTCAGCAACAAGCATTTCATCACGCTTGTTATTAATCTCTAATCATGCAACTGAGATAAATATCTCGCAAAAACATTCTTATTATTATTTGCATAATGCAATTGATGACGAATAGGAATGAGAAATGAAATAATTATCGCTTGAACAGAAGAGCTCGTTTGAGTATCATCAAGTTAAACTTCGGCGTATCGTTAGACATCAATCAACAATCATTTTAGTATAAAATCGCGTGATATGGCATAAGGTGATTAAAGTGTCAATTATATATTCGTAAGACGTAACATCCATAGAGCTCACGACTTCATATAAGATGAATACGTGACAGTTACAATAAACAATTGACCTGTGTGCATTTAATAGG